GGGGGGGAGAGACACCGAGCGGGACAAGAGTGTGACCGAAAAGATCGAGTGAATGAGACTAAGTGTAAAAGAGAGAGATGTGACACAGCAGAGGCAGACAAAAAGTGTGTGTGTGTTTATGTGTTTGTGTTTCTGAGGGAGAAAGAGTGTATCGAGTAGGGGGAGGGGAAGGAACAGGGACCTCGGGGAAGCTGCTGAAAGGTTCCCGGGACAATAGAGCTCCGTTCACAGGGCAACAGCACTAGCTCTCCCATGCATCCTCCCCCTTCCTCCTCCTCCTCTTCAACGTTCATTAAGGGCCCCTGTGCTCATGTGGTGAAAGAGTAGCAAGCGAGCGCTCCTCCTTCATCTTCCTCTCACTCAGGGAGGAAGATAGGAGTGAGAAATGGAGAGTAAAGCCTGCTCACAGCTGCAGAGAAGAACACATCTCACTCCCACATCCAGTGTCTGCATCTTCTTAAATTATTACAAAACCCCATGCACAGTAAGTCAGACAGTCACAAATGGGTACAAACGCACCAGGTAGGTTCTCAAATGTCCCATTAGCTGCATGTAAACAGTCCGTTGACTGTAAAAATGCCTTTGATCCGGCACACTTTCCTCCTGCTACATGCCCACAACTGTACACACAGAGCTTCCAGAGGACTTTACTACAGACGTGCGAACTCCATTAAGAGCTGAAAGGGAGAGTCATTACCAATTTATGAACCGAGTATAGCTTCTTGTGTTGGAGGCTGTTCTGAATAATGCAACTTGGATTACGTCAGGTCACACTGCCCTAAATATGAATAAATATATATATAAATATATATATATATATATTCCTGTTTTAGTATTTCTCAGAGGCACTCATGGTGAAACATTGATGGTGCCGTTTCTTGGATACAGTGAATCCTACTGGGTGAATAAAAGGCCAGAACATAAGTTTAATATAAATATGATGACATCACACAGAGTTGTCTAAATTAATTTTGACATGTTACTGAAATATTAAAGGTTTTACCAGCATATGAAACATGCTGGCACCCATCAAAGAAAAACCATCAGTACTGTGATTAAAAAATATATTTTGAAGCAGTATTATTTTATTTAAAGTGGGGTTTCATTTACTCACATATGAAATACATTTCTCCTGTAATTAAATGACCAGACATAATAGGAAAACACAGATCCATGGCAATTGAATCAACCCTCAGAGGCCCATTTAACCCTTGAGAGTGTTTGTTTTGTACATATGTTTTTACTTAATAATTCACATGTGATTCTCAATACTTTTGCATGTTCAGGTTAACCACCCACGGGATCATTCTTACTTACTTCTTACTTCTTACTTGAACGCAAGTCAGTATAATCCAAAGGGATAATAACCCAATGAGCAAAGAGGCTAATTTATTTGTCAATTAAACAATTTAGATTTTATCAGGAATATACGGAAATCTGTGAGGACTACTTCATTATGCGAGATTTAATGGCTTTTAGAGGCTGTGGGTCAGCACTTTATATTAACTAAGCATTTCTCACTTTGATTTCAGAGTATTTTATAGATCGGGTCACAGAAAACCAAACTGTCATCATGTCGTTCATTATTTCATCTCTAACACTTTATTTGGATTACCGATTGACTGAATCACGTGGATGTCACGCTGGACTGGATTAAATGCGCTATTTTGATGATTTATGGATTAAAATCCACCCACCCAAACACACACACACACACACACACACACACACACTCCTTTTCTCCACAGACGGATAAGCGCACATTCACACACGCTCACACGCGCGCAGGCGTAAACTGATGGCAACCGCGATCAATCAGTGTTCCGCACCATCGCTTCCCGTTACCGATGGGCTGACCCACATCTGTTCATCTACCTCTGTCCCTGTGAGTTTTTGCACCGGTTCTAATGTGAAATTTAAATAGCTGTTTTTTTTTTTGTTCAGGCGCCTAATACACTGAACAAAACGCCGGTGTACCGTCAGCATCAATCATATGCTTAAAAAAACATTAAAGTTACCCTGTAATTGTTTTATAATATTCAGTGTTTGAGGCTTTAAGTCCGTTTATTATCCTCAAATCGGGGTCCGCTCCAACTGACCACTTAGCTAGCTCATGTCCAGTGGTCGACTTCTTAGTTTGGACTAATGAGACAAAAATGAGCAGAAATACCCGCACAGATTTCACCATTATGATAAAGAGTGTTATTATTCGCTGTAAAAAGTATCATAAGGCCCTCACCAGCACTTGAAATATTAGAAGAAATCAGCCCGTCCGCATGTCCCGTTAGATACTCCTATTAGCTCTGCCATCCTGTGTCCCCCAGCCCGTCTGGCCACTCCGGGGAAAATCCTTTGAGGACGGGGGCACGCCCACGGACCATATTCACCAATCAGATGTCCAAGAAGAGGATTTAGCGTTTGATGGACGTTAAAGCCAACCAATGGCTTCTTTGATATATAATGAGTGACAGGGAGAGTCCCCCGCTAGATAGCCGTGTTGAGATGGAAGAAGGCGGGGCTAAGGTTGGGCGTTGCTAAACAGCTTAACGAGCATTTTTTCCTCCCTTTCACCTATCCGGGTCTGATACTTGTCAAAATTAGAGGTGCTGTAATTTATCTTCGACTCTCTCGGTGATGTGCAGACATGTAAATAACCTAAAATAACACCTAAAAACTAAAAAACTTTTTAAAAAATTAATTAAAAAAAACCCAACGAGATAAAGCATCCTTTTTGGCGTTAGTGAGATTCTCAGATTGATGCTGAGGATGGAGAGTATTGTATAACAGAACAAAATAGCTAGGCCAGCATCCTGCAGGAAGCGGTTCAGTGAGGACTGGCTATACTTAGATCAGTGGTTCAGTCTCTCTGCTATGTTTGTGGACAAAAACAGCCATCAAAGCAAAAGAAAAACAAGGATGCAGAGAACTGTCTCTTTACTGTAGTCAGGATTTGGTGAACTAAAAAGGGGAGTTTCGGTATATAAACTGCTCTTCTATTCCTGGATAAAGCCTAAATTTATTAAGCAGCTGCTACTTTGTAATAAACACATAATTTAGACAAATATGTGGCCAAAAATGTGAATTTATGCTAGTTCATATGGACCTCTGAGGCAAAAGAACTCTTATTTAATTTGAATGTTTAGCAACTGTGTGAAGCTATCATATCAACATGGACCACACAAGAATTAAGATAGTTCTAAAGGTAAAAGTGAGTCCAACTCAGACAGACCTTAGTCACATGGCAAAGTGTAATTAATGAAATGTCCTAAGAGTGTATATTATCATTTAAATCAAGGGTGCAAAACATTAGGCCCAGGGCCAAGGGATTGTGGTCCGTAGAAGACTACACTCCGACCCACTTGACAGCTTCATAAAATGTGACTGTGCACATGTGATTTTACAAGTGTTACAGCTTTTCCTACTGATTAAGACCACCGCCCATGGCCATCCATACCACACCAAAGTACGAGGGCATTTTCTGTGAATGAATGAAAACTCTATACTCTAAAATGATAATTACAGGAGCAACGATCTACTAGAACATTTTCTTGAACATTACATGTTTATCATGTTTCATTGGTGTCACACCCACTTCACATCAAAGCATCAAACAATTTAACATGAATTTAGCTGCACATCTCTGATTTAAATATCTGATTTTTTTGGGCCACAAAATTGTAGTTGGTTGACTTTTAATGGGTCCCATTTCCTTTTTCTACATTTTGTACATTAAATTAAAAATATTTAATAATCTGAGAATTTAACAATGAAAACAGTGGTTAGTTGACGGCCTTTTTAAACATGATTAAGCTAGATCTCTACTATAATAACCCATTATTGAGCAAGATTTCATATAGGCCTTATTAAATAAATAAAATTCAGGACTCATTGTGGTAATGTCAAGTGCACATATTAACATCTGGGCGGTTAAGTAGATTTTTTTTTCTGTCCGTTTTCAAACAGCAGTACTTTTTGAATGCCTCGTGTCACCACGATGCATCAAATATCATCAGCAAAACTCGTCTTCTTTCCCAAACTGAATTTTGTCTCAAGAATTTTGTGAAGCTCACATTAGGGGCGGATGTCAGTTGTTCCCAGAAAAAGAATAAATAGGATGAAAGATGTTACCTAAAATCGCTTCACAAATAAGAGTGACAACGTTGATGTTTCCACTTTTATTGTCGGGATACTTGCTTCATGTAAAATATTTCAATACATTACAGTACAATGCATGTTCCGCCTGCCATCCTCCATGCGATTGGTTGGTTTTGTCATCATGTTGTAAGGCTTAACCACAGCACATGAGCAGTCAGCTATTGCAAGCTGCTTTGCCGCTCTCGCCATGAAAACAGAACCATGAAAACAGATTAAATTAGAAACTACTAAAATCTTTTTTTTTTTTTTTGTCCTCTCTGAACAAAAACCCCTCAACGCCACGGCTGCGAGTGGCTCCACATCCTCCCAGCATGTTTCACAGCAGCTCAGTAAAGTCCTCAGCTGAGGCCCTCGTAGGGCCGCTTGCACAAAATAAACAGACAGACAGGAGGACAGGAAATCTGTCAACGCTGGCAGTCACATAGCAGCTTTCAGTTTCGTCCGAGCTTCAACAGGAAAAGGGTAAACCGGCCGGGGTAGGCTGTAGGTAAAGGAGACAGGTTAAGAAGATAGGGGGAGGATATGACGGAACAGATTAACATTTCCTTTAAACCACGCCATCTTCTCTTACATCCGAGATCCGAGTAACAGAAAAAGATTGGATTCAATCAAAATTTCCTTTTTTTTTTTCCTTTTTTATTATTTTTTTTTTTTAAAACCTTCCTCCCACTTTGTGTCTCACCTATCACGTTTTCTCTATAACTGTGTTTCTAATACTGCGGTGTGTTATCTTTATCTGGACCAAAGTGAAGACCATTTCTTTCAGGCCTAACGCACTGCTGTAGAGATGGTGCCCTCTGTGAGGTGAAGTGGGGTGAGGCAGGGTGGGTTTTGTTGCCTTGGACGCCCCCCACATCCCTCGGTACATTCGTTCAGGTGGGCGTGGTGAGGGCTGTGTGTGTACATGTGTCTATTAACGTGTGTATGTGTGTGTGGGAGGGATGTTTCAGTAGCGGTGGGTCTGGTGGGAGTACTGGGGCGGCTGTTGGGAGGTAGAGGAATATCCCATGCTGCTCTGGGGCAGTGATGTGCTTGGTCCAGGGTTCTGGTAGGCAGCATGTGGATTGGAGCGCTACAGGAAGAAAACAACAAAGAAAGCAGTGACATATTCACAAAATCTTCTTTGTGTAATGGTTTAATTTGCATTTAAACTCAATGAACAACATATTCCAGTAAAATGATCACACTTTTAGTGTGGTGACATCTTAAATTCTGCATGCAAGAATAGTTGGATACATGGAAACCTCACTGTCATGTTAAGTAAAGTCACTTTTATTATGCAAAAACACCATCACTCCACGTTTCCAGTCAGATTAGATGGATCTGTGTCTGAGCATGTGTGTCACATCTGAAACACGATGATCCAACATTCACATCCGCCTCACTTTGCAGATCAAAAATGGTATTTGTTGCAATTTCTGGTTATGTGTGCAGCTAAAAATCCATTTCCCCATCATCCAGAAAGTAAAATAATACATATGTCAAGCATGAGAGGGTATTTAACATGTTCAGTTCTGCCACTGCGAAGAATATTAAAAGTATAAATCTTATAGTATATTATATTACATAGTATATTACCAATACTTACATCTCATGTAACATTCTTTTCAGAGTGGTTGCTATAATATTTTTGACCCTAGCCCACAACATCTTATGCTGTCGAGAGATTTCTAAACTTGTCTAGCCTGTGAATGGAGCGTTTCATCTACAAAACAAAGCTATTTCACTGTATATGTATTCTATTAAAGTCGCTCGCTGATTTAATAAACAACAACATAGATGACAATCCAGAAACAGTGACAGTGAATATATGAGAAAGACGGATTTACCTGGTAGTCTGAGGTCATAATGAGGCCACCTGAGGTAGTGGTGGGCGGGACAACTCGCACTTTCTTTAGAGGCGGGCCCTGGGCGTGGCTGTTGTCTGGGTTGCCTGTGTGCCCCGCCCCATTTGTGTGGTTATTTCCCTGTTGCTGCTGCTGGTTTTTCTAAAGGGCACAAACATAAATTATACCCTGGACTGCATGAAGTTTCACTACATGTTACTCAGCTTTATTGTGAATTTTCTATATTTCTCCTTTTACTTTTCTATATTACACCCATCTATATACCCATCAATTAATGTTTAATGACTTTAGTAATACAGCATGTGGCATATGGATATGTAATATTTACTTTGTCTGCCTTGTCCTCTGGCTCCTCCTCTGTCAGAAACTCCCTCTTGGGGTAGGGAATCTGGCAACCTGCAAACACACTAGAGAAAAAAAAAAAAGGCAAAGAGGCTTGTCATCTTCAAACATTAATTCCCATGACTCTGAGCTAATTAGCTAAGAGACCTGCTCAAGACATCCGCAGATCATATGACTTAAGCTAAGGACGAACACAAGACAAAGAAACTATCTTGTGAGTTGAATGTAGTCTGTGTGTGTGGAAGTGTGTTCGGTGTAACTCACTCAGAGGTGGGTAAAGGCTCCTCTAAAAAGTAGGGGTCCTGCATGGCCTGCTCGGATGTGATTCTACGGATGGGATCCATGGTCAATAGCTTTTGCAGCTGTAACATATAGTGCACCCAGAGTTAGTCTCAAACATGACACAAATAAATTCATACAATGAAAATGCACACTTTGTTTGTTAACTAACCACACTGGGCACTTTGCAAGTCACACCCATTCAAATGCTTGTTAGGGAAAATTTCTAAGTAAGCCAATCACTTGACACAAAGTCAGTGCATTTAGACATACAGTCCTGGTCACATGGATCTGCTGAAGCTCAAACTGAACATCAGATTGAAGAAGAAAGGTGGTTTAAGTGACTCTGGCTGGCTGTTAGTGCCTGGTAGGCTGATTTCAGTGTTTATGAAAATGCTTATCTACTGAAAAACAATCTGTAGAGTTTACAGAGATAGTCATATCCCATAACGAGCGAATCTCTGGGGTCACAAAAAAAAAAAAATGACGGCAGAGTCACTTGTCACCACAAGGTGTCCAGTAGAGCACTGCCAAATTTGCAACATGTCACAGCAAGAGAAGACCACACTGAAAGGCACTACAGTGAGTTTTGAACAGTAAATTAAGGCTTGCCAAAACTGCCCAGTGGAGGTTCGGAAAAACAATTCCTAATCTGATGATTATATTGATCCATCCAGCATTCCTATCCCCAGCTTCTTTCACACAGTATTTTTC